CCCATCCACCGAACCTTACGTCGAGATTTTTTTTAACAGTTTCTATTTCTACAGAGCAGCACCCCGCTCCCCGCGAAACCTCCTGTCGACTACCTCCCGTCGGCCAACATCTTATCCCCACCATCAACGGCCACGACGGCCTCGCCACACTCTTCTGCCGAACAAGATACACGACGACTACGAATACGATTCGAGACCCTCGGGTGTTGACAGTAGAGAAGATGGCGCCCACAGTTCAGCAGATGCCTCCGGTTCCCAACAGGGAGGACATCGGAGCAACGTGAGTCGACTTTTGCAGCCTTGCGACGCCTCTGGCTTCGCTGCTAGCCGACACCCCGCGCTGACTTTTTGCAGATGGAAATATCTCGAGGCCGGCATCCAGCGTATCATGCTTGATCTCGAGCGCGGTATTGACATGCAGATCGTGAGTCCCCTCGCTGCCCCGCGCCTTCCCTCCCTCTGCGGGCTTGCCGCCGCTTGATGCAAGATTGCTGACGTCTCCTTCGTGCCGCAGTACATGGGAGTATACACGTAGGTAGCGCTGACCGATTGTTGCTGAACCCCTCTGACCCAGTTGCAGTGCCGTCCACAACTTTTGTACATCTCAGAAGGCCGTTGGGCTCTCAGTGCCTCAAGGAAGTATTGGTTCTGGCAATCACAGAGGAGGTAAGCCAGCAGCCAAGATTCGCATGCAAGAGCGTGCCCGTGCTGACCACTGGGAATGAACAGCCCACCTCCTTGGCGAGGAACTTTACAACAAGCTCATCGAATACCTCAAGTCCCACCTCGAAGGACTCGTCCAGCAATCCAAGACACACACCGACGAGGCTCTCCTGACATTCTACATCAAAGAATGGAACAGATACACGGTCGCCGCCAAATACATCCACCACCTGTTCCGGTATCTGAACCGACACTGGGTCAAGCGTGAAATGGACGAGGGCAAGAAAAACATTTACGACGTCTACACGCTCCACTTGGTCCAATGGCGTAGGGTGCTGTTCGAAGACGTATCTGGGAAGGTCATGGAGGCGGTGTTGAAGCTCGTCGAGAAGCAACGCAATGGCGAGACGATCGAGTACGGCCAGATCAAGCAAGTCGTTGATTCCTTCGTGTCCCTTGGCCTCGATGACTCCGATCCCACCAAGTCGACCCTCGACGTCTACCGCTTCCACTTCGAGAAACCGTTCTTAGAACATACGAAGACCTACTACCAGAATGAGTCTAAGCAGTTCGTGGCCGAGAATAGCGTGGTGGAATACATGAAGAAGGCTGCTGCTCGTTTACAGGAGGAGGAGGAGCGCGTCAAGATGTATCTGCACGCTGATATCATCAATCCCCTCCGCAAGACCTGCAACCAAGCTCTTATTGCGGACCACTCCCAGCTCTTGCGAGACGAATTCCAGGTCCTTCTCGACAACGACAGAGAAGAAGATATGGCCAGGATGTACAACCTTCTGTCGAGAATTCCCGAAGGTTTGGATCCTCTCCGCCAGAGATTCGAGACTCATGTCCGTAAGGCCGGCCTGGGAGCAGTACAGAAGGTGGCATCGGATGCGGAGAAGCTGGAGCCCAAGGTCTACGTCGATGCGCTATTGGAGATTCATTCTCAGTACTCGGGCTTGGTAACGCGAGCTTTCGAAGCCGAGGCAGAGTTTACGAGATCCCTTGACAACGCCTGCCGCGAATTCATCAACAGAAACGAGGTCTGCAAGTCGGGCTCCAACAAGTCTCCTGAGCTGTTGGCCAAGTACACGGATGTCCTGCTTCGCAAGAGCAGCACCGGAATCGAGGAGGGCGAGCTTGAGAACACTCTTACGCAGATCATGACCGTTTTCAAGTACATCGAGGACAAGGACGTCTTCCAAAAGTTCTACTCCCGCATGCTGGCTCGCAGATTGGTCCACAGTAACTCCTCGTCGGACGATGCAGAGACAAGCATGATCAGTAAGCTTAAAGAGGCGTGCGGTTTTGAATACACGAACAAGCTCCAGAGAATGTTCCAGGACATGCAGACCTCCAAGGATTTGAACGTCAGCTTCAAGGAGCATGTTGCGGGTCTTGGCATTACCAAGAACGCTCTGGACTCCCAGTACTCGATCCTGGGTACCGGTTTCTGGCCGTTGACAGCACCAAACACCAGCTTTACTCCACCCGCTGAGATCAATGAGGACTGTGAGCGATTCGCTCGCTTCTACAAGAATAGGCACGAGGGTCGCAAGTTGACGTGGCTCTGGCAGTTGTGCAAGGGTGAGCTGAAGGCAGGGTACTGCAAGAACAGCAAAACGCCCTACACCTTCCAGGTATCGGTGTATCAGATGGCGATCTTGCTCATGTTCAACGACAAGGACAAACACACCTACGAGGATATCGCCGGTGTGACCCTGCTGAGCTCTGAGGTCCTGGACCAGGCTCTGGCTATCCTGCTCAAGGCCAAGGTTCTCATCATCTCCCCCGATGGCAAGCCCGAGGCAGGCAAGAGCTTCAGGCTCAACTACGACTTCAAGAGCAAAAAGATCAGAGTGAACTTGAACCTCGGAGGAGCCAAGGAAGCTAAGCAGGAGGAAGTGGAGACCAACAAGACGATCGAGGAGGACCGCAAGCTGTTGTTGCAGGTACGTATCTGGCGAATCCGACTCACTTTTTGACATATGCTAACAAGCCACACAGTCTGCCATCGTTCGTATCATGAAGGCGAGAAAGAAGATGAAGCACACGCAGCTCGTCAGCGAAACTATCAACCAGATTCGGTCGCGTTTCGTGCCAAAGGTTTCGGATATCAAGAAGTGCATAGAGATTCTCCTCGACAAGGAGTACTTGGAACGGCTCGAGGATGACGAGCTTGGATACTTGGCGTAATTGGGGTCGGGCTTTTCCTCTCGAGAAGAGGAAATACCCTCTTGCCTCTCTCGATTGTCTATGTATTACAACACTCTCAAAACTGCATACACACAACCCCATCTTTGCCAGGCACTCGATTTGCGTTATACGGGCACACTCAGGTGTGTGCAGGCTCCCCAGCGACAGGAACGAGGAATACTTCACGAAGGGGGCTGTTTTCTTCGGGTTAGGGGCGACCGGCAGGTGGGCAGGGTTAGATAGCCGCATGCGGATTCCTCATATTGACTGTTAAAACATGCCACAGACAATGACCACGGTGACGCCTGAGGTGAGCGATTCCACCCGATTAGTATTGACTGCGGCACTGCAGCACTACGGAGAGAGGCAGCCATAGAGTAGTAGACGCCTGGGATGTGTAGGTCCGCGGGGACGTCTAAGCATAAGTGTCAAATCATTCAAAGCCATGACATCCATCGCGGCCACACCGGCGATATTGCCAGGAAATAGAACCTCCAACCCTGCCCTCTAGTCACCGGCCTCACCGTCAGCATCCTGGCGCTTGTTGTGCAAAGCTAGCCGCCACCGCGACACCTTTGCACATCAGCCGTCATTGCTTTCCCGGGCATTGTTAAAAGATTACTGGGTGCAAGACTGGTTTCTGGTAGCACTCCGCCTTACCCTCACCTAACAACGCAAGAAAAGTTAAATTGGCCCTAGACATGCTTGAGCAGGTAGATTTCGAGATTTCCAGGCACTCGGCAACGCTCTGTTGCCACATCACCTCATTTCCACCGACATTTCAGCTACTTGTGACTTTGCATATAGTTTGAGTAGGGTTCCCACTGTAGTCAGTCGCCTTCGCGAGTCTTCTTACGGATTATCGAACAGCGAAGGGCCGTAGAGTGGATAGATGGGCCATGATCTCCCCACAGCTCGGCCTCCGACGTACGCCGCATGGTCTATTTCCAATACGACGTGTCAAAGCCTACGGTACGTTGTAATGTCTAATTTCCCTCTATGGGGGTGAACTTGGACCTTGGTTTAGAGACGGCTGCGCTGGACAACTGTACGTGTAGTTGCAATAAGTTGGCGAAAGGGGCCAACCATGCTAGAGCACCACTCCTTGACATACACACACAATCAGCCCCTTGGTAAGTGCGGCAGAATACTTCAACATTTTGAAATTCAGGGCGGTGGCTGACCGTTCCTGTTCCAGCAGTACAGCAGTACAGCAGCAGGCATAACACAGCACAAGTGGCATCAACTACCAAAACTGTTGGTAATAAAACATTCGTTTCATTCTTTTACAGGGCTACCAGCTCGTATCCTAAAAATGTACCCAAAATATCATTAGACACATAGACTGCAATCTCGATTATCTCAGTCACTGTCCAATCGGGCTATGACCCAATTCTTTTTGTCCACAATCTCAAAGTTGGCCATGCTAGCACGTATATCAGACCGTGGGATATTAGCTCTGCCATAGTTTCATTTGGTGACGTCTTAACTCTTGGAGGTTCTCTGGATACAATGCTCCTGACATGAGCAGTGTCAATAGATATCATACAGGAAACCTGAAGGGCTCCTCAGTGAACGCAGGTGGACACAAAGAAGACCGGGTTGTCCTAGGTAAGTATGGGGAGACTTGGTATACACATCTCATACTGTTAACGACCGGTGAGATTAGCAGCTCACTGCAACACGATGGGATATATTTGTGCTGAATCACCCGCGAGACATAATTCAGTTTGCTACAAAACAGCTGACATTTGTTTGGTGGATAATTTACACAGAATAAAAATGCCGAGATTCCTAGCTCGTAAATGTGCTCATCAGGCCCCGGAATGAGACATATCAACTAGACTCGAGCAATGTCATGCCCCTAAACTGTGTGAGACCTCGCGAAGTATTCATAGTTTGAACCCTCCCACCAGCAAGCTGGTATACACTCCTTCGGTGTCGTATTTGGCCTTGATGGTCTTTAGCCGTTGCAGATTTGCGGCGTTGTACGTGTTGAACACATCCTGCCCGTTTCCCGCGTTGTTGAGATACAGAAAAGGAACCAGCTTGTCTCCCAACTTGGCGCTCATCTCTGAGTTGACGTCCGCAATGAGCGTCTCAATGGCGCCAGTGTCATTCTTGAGCGACCAAGAAAAGGTTTACTCACACATAAAGTACGGCCCTGCATCGCTGTCAATCCCCATAGGATCGCCAGCCGGATCAGCCCCCCGGTTCGTCTCGATGAAGGACCGCGAGATAGGGTTCATAGCAAGCGTGGAGATGAACCCTTTGATCGCTGGGCCGCGTTCCTGGGCAAGCTGGAAAAATACGTCGTGCGCGGTGTACAAGGCATCGAGGTTCGACAACATGGTGAAGCCGTGGAATCGGAAGTTCTGGCCGTGCACCTGGTCGAAGCCCTGGTCGGCCTCGGCTGACCAGTTAGCCAGAGTGCGGGTTGCAAAAGTGCTGGTCTTCGGGATGGCCTGCGGGGGGAGGAATTGTTGCAGTGCGGAGGGAGAGGTTTCGTTGTTGTCGTTGTAGAACAGCGTCGCCGAATATGTGATGTTAGGCTCCGCGGCTGGGACGTAGGAGATGGTCGGGAGGACAAAAGCTCGTTGGTCCTGCACTCCATTCCGGGAGAAGTCGTACAAGTCGGCAAGGAAGGAGTCACGCTGGCCGGATCCGTAAGCCACATTGCCCACGGCCACCTTCTCAATCTCGTATGTCTTGAGATCGAACCTGGTGACAATGGCGAAGTTGTTGCCGCCTCCGCGAAGTGCCCAGAAGAGATCAGAGTATTCGTTCGTCGCGGTGGCGTAGACGATAGACCCGCTGGATAGAACAGCCTATGTCCGCTTAGTCTTCTTTCTTATCATACAATCCTGGGGAGAGAGAGATTCTTACCTCATAGCCCAAAACACTCCCTGACGCCCATCCATACTGGTTGCCCAAGAAGGACATCCCTCCTCCTAACATGAATCCGGGAACCCCGACGACGCCGATGCGACTACCCACAACTGCCAAACCTTCTGGGGACAGGTAGTTGTATATGTCTGCCCAACTATGACCGGACGCCACCGAGATCGACTTGCGGTCGTCGGCTAGTTGAAGACCCGTTAGGTTTGTGGTGGCCAACAAGATTCCGTTTGAATCAATGTTCGCAGCTCCTGGTATGGGCATCCACCCGCCTCCGCGCACCGCAAATTGGACCCCAGATTGTGCCAGTATTTGCACTGCAGTTGCCATACTTTGCGGGCTGTCGGGTGTGAAGATGCAGGCCGGGCCGAGCCACTCTTCCGCACTGAAATATCCTGACTAAAGCGTCAGTGTCCATCACTTTCTCCGTTCTGATACTACTATCTTAGTGAACATATCAACTTCAAAGGAAGAAGGTGTTTGAAGGACCTGGGATCGGGTCTATGATATTATCCATCTTCGGCGAAGGCATTGCTGTAAGAGTCATCATATAACAACATACCTTCATTGATAGAAGAGTAACCGGTATTGTTAGGAAGCAGAGTGAGTTGGGGAAAACCCTGCACGAAAGAAACGCAGACTTCCGTGACAGTACGATTCGATGAACACCCGGCGAGATTCGTGAGCATCGACACAGCCAACATGAGTTGACTGCGGCGTGGTTGGCGCCCGAGCATCTTGCAAAGAACAGAGACTGAACTAGAAAAGGAGTACAGAGGAGAGGGAAGAGGCTATCAAGAGATATACTTCAGCGTAAGTCAAGTTATTTTCAGCAGAGATAACTTAGTCGCCACAAAGGAAAACAGCAAGATGTTGAACATGTCGAGGACGAGCAGAATTTATCTACTAGACCGCTTCTTCGGCACTGTCGTTAGCGCACTCCTAATTCTATATACGACGTATTTAATAGTATACATAAAGACAAGTTCGTCAGATTATAGAGTAAGGCATCTGCATTATCAATGGGGAATACGTCGTATTCGCTAATACACCGAGCTAGAGGTTCGAGATGGCAGAGCACAGACGTGCAGATCATCTGGGTGTAAGTGGACGGCAAATGCTTCGCCACGCGGGAATTACAGATAGGGGGCGAATCTAGGGCTAATCTGCCTTATACATGCGATGTATATTACAGCATATGTCTTTGTGTGTCTTTGAGTGACCTTGTTGACATGTTCTGTCCAAATGATGTTGTCGCAAAGCTCTCCGGACTGGGCGCAGCGGATACAATCAACCTCAGACTTGGTCTTCAGCACATACGACCATACCCACTGGAAAACTCGGGATCCCGTCCGCTCTCCCATAGATAAGCCAGTGAGGGCTGGATTAGTAGTTGGGTCGGTGACGACCAGCGAATACCCGGTGTTGTATGTATGTTTTTGGTGTTGACGTCCTTTTTGCCCCGCTGCAAGAGGAGTGTGTGGATGTGGGCTCCCGTAGCATCGAGCTTTTATGACTTCCTACCGCTGTTATCTAGCATAGCTCCGCGTTGACAGCAGTTGGCGGCTTCTGTTTTAGCTAAAGCAACATATCATACGTTTGTCTGAATTTTCATTTGAAGTTAGGCGTTCAGGGTTGTTGTGTAACGGTCTCCTGGGGAGAAACCCGGAGGTGATTGCTATGACACCTTCACACATCTAGTCATCTGCAGCTTGTGATTTTTGATTCTGAAAATCGCACTACGGCTTCTGAGACCGCATTCTTTCTGTGATAGTCTCTTACAATTCATCCCATTGTCTCCCCGTATTATCGTCTTGACCATGGCCATCTCCCAGTGTGTATCGGAAGAGCTCAGTCAGCTTCACCACCCTCGATGACTGTAGAATCAACGATTGTCCCAACTCGCTTGCCCTTATATGTCAAGACAACCTGTGACTCGCCGGCTCCATCTTTGGGGTGGCGCATAGTGACATCGACTCCCCTTAGGCCTTCCTCCTCAGCTCGTTGATTCCAGAGCATCTGCCGAATAATGCCGTCCTCGGAGCACGAGATGAATCCCATAGGCCATCGGCTTCGTCCAAGACCTTCGCGTACCCCTTTGCTTGCTGTCTTCGTGCTTACAAGGAAAGCAATGACTCCTTCGCCACGCCAACCAACTGGGGCACCAATAAAGGCCCCTTCCAACTCTCGGGTGACCGCAGGAGTTACCTTCTGAACCCCTCCTTTGCACTGAAAGATGAGCTTCAAGCTGGTTCTTCGTGACGGTAGTTTCCAATGTCCGAGCAGATCGACACCATAGTCTGAGACGCCACCCACTCTCATAGCTTGAATTCCATATTGAGAGAGAATCGACGACACAGTGTATTCGTAATGAGTTCCAACATAGATGGTAGATGCCGTGTCAAGCCCAGTTCGATCCGCATAGTCTAGGAAAGACGCAAGGTCATGGTGCTTTGCTGTTGATGCGTCGGGAACCGGCAAGTCCTGCCCTTTTTTCCCCTTCTGTCTCAGTGATGTTCGTGTCGAGAGTTGACGTGGTTGACCGGCATGGGGAAGAAGTCGCAGAGGACGAAACCATTTCCTGTCTAGTGAGCGTCGCAGAGCATACATGCTCCTGGGATATGGCAAAGTTGGTTTCGGCAAAAGCGTCCTGGCATGTTCCGGCGCAAAAAGCCCATCACTTATTGAAGAAACATGGTCTGGGACGATGAGTTGAAGTTGAGGTCCGGTGGGTACGTACCGAACACGCTTTTCTGCTGCTCCATTCGATATTGATCTGGCCCGTGCGCCACACGCGGAATGCCTGCCGCTGCCAGCCGTCATACGAGCCGTCTGCGGCACTTCAACCAAACTGAGATCAATGTCAACAACAGCCACTAGACGACCGGCAACATGGGTGACAGACTCACTCAACTGCAAGACGCTGTGGATCAGGTAAGAGATAGTCCCTCCTTCTTGCCATGCGACACCGTGATCGCTGACACATCCTTTAGCTTGCCCAGCAATTCGTCGCAAGCTTCCACTTCGTCCACCGACGCCACGACCTAGAACTTCTTGGCCCCAACGACAAGATACGCGATGTCAAGCAGGAACCGGATCAGAAGGAGGGTACGATAACCGCTGCAGATGTTCATCGGTAGCCTTTGAGCATATTGACTGACAGCGCGCAGTGGACCCTCTTCCCGCGGACGAATTCAAGGAAGGCCTAGCTGAGCTGTCACGCGACTTGATTATAACGGAACAACAAATCGAAGTTCTCATTTCCAGTCTACCAGGCTTGGATAGCAGCGAGGTTGATCAGGAGCGATACATACAGGAGTTGGAAGACGAGCTCAAGGTTGCCGAGGCACAGAGACAGGACGCAATTAAGGAGAAGGACCAAATCCTCGGCAAGCTCGACGAGGTCATCAGAAGCATTCGCAGACCTTGAGCGTCGGCGGGTGACACATTTACCTGAGGGAAATTGGGAGCGGCGTTTGGACGGCTTTTTCTTTTGGCGTTGAGCAAGGAAAAGAATTGGGGGTATGCTACCAACATCTATGAAACCATTGATACCCATTACGTCAGGGGTTCTACATCTCTAATAATCCCCGTTACCCATTGTGCTTGATCACGACACAACTCTGTATCAGTGCCTGGGCCTTCTATAATCTTAGACGTTCTTTGACTTGAAGAATTGAGGGAATGCCTCTCGCAGCTCTCTAAGGTGTCGGATCTGGTGCTTGGATGCCTGCGTCCTCGGCACGGGCAGTCCCTCCTCCACCAGGTGCGCCACATTCCAGCCGTACTCTGTGGCCTTTTGACAGTTCAAGTACGAGTCGTCTACAATTGAACGTCAGCTCGAGGTCTGCTGCATCATGATGCGAATACACTTACCAACAAAGTAGCAGTCCTCCATCTTTTCTACACCAGCCTCCTTCATGGCTCTGAGGTACATCTCCTTGGCAGGCTTGCAGACCAACGGCTGAGCTCCGTAATCGCAAAAGGTCAGTCCATCAAAGAGGTCGTCGATCCGGAGTAGTTTAACAACACGCTTAGCGTGATTGACATAGGCGTTGGTAAGAAGCCACATGGTGCATTTGCTCTTGTCGACGTCCTCAAGCAACTCGCGCAATTCAGGGTTGTACTGCAGAATGTCCTCAAGGGGAAGGGCGTCGTCGACCTTTGAGTTGTACTCCAGAGGATCGATTTGATGGTGTCTCACCAAGCCTTCAATAGCTAGGCCATAGTTCGTATAATATTCCTTGTGCAGTTTCACTGCGTCCTCCCAGGAGAGTGACAAATGCTTTGCGAAGTATTCGTCGATGAGTTGCGCCATATGGTCCTGTACCCTTGAGCCTGGAAAGTGTCAGGTTGCGAGATTACATCTCAATGGTCTCATAAGCTTACTCCGCGGGTATAAACAGTTATCAATATCACTGATACCTGTTAGCGGTGGCTCGAAAAGACGCAGATAATGTCAACCTACAAGAACAGCACCGGCTTCGGAGCTGAGACTCCATTGGGTTGGATACTGGGATCCATGGCTACTAGCCTAGAGGTGTGTGAATGGCGTAGGCTATGTCGAAAGACTGGGTTAAGAACCGGGGCAAACTTGGGATGCTCAATTATTCGTGTTGATATGAGTGGTCGCGGTAGTTGTTGAGAATAAGACCTTAAGGATGGAATTGGGGAACGGAAGGTTCTCGATAGGCGTGGGAGTCTGGCTGGCATGAAGGACACAAGACCAGGCAGTTGGAATCTCAGTGGCACTCTTTTATTTGTCGAAGTTGCAATCTCAATGGTTCAATTATGACAAACGCAAGCTGAGGGTCTGGCTTTGCATAATACACGGCGTAGAGAGCTGAATAGTGTCCTGTGGTCGAGTCACGTCGGCGAGAAGGCATGCATGCTACGTTGCTACTTCTGAGGCAATTACTGAGGTAGGACGGATAGCAGCGGGCGGTTTGCAGGGGGGTAGCTCCCGGCTGGATGGGTGCTGCAGCAGCCAAAAAACAAAAAATGACGGCAACGGGTGGAAAAGCTCCGATGGCTGGAGAGTGCACAGGCCGGAAACAGCCCGCTTAAGTGCATCCCTGCTAGGAAATTACTGTATCCATTCTTCCAAACTTGCGCTAGGTCGCCTTGATCCCGGGAATCAAGGACCACCACGCACACAACCCAGCTGACTCGGTTTTTCTCTCTGCATCATTTGATCCACCAGCAAACAAACAAGAAAAACCCGACTCTTTTTCGATTTTGTTCCACAGAAGAGCAGAATCTCTTTCATTTCTTCCTGTATTCTGTACTCATCAGCCTGTGTAGGGTTTTACCGTCTAGTTTTTCTGCTGTTCGCTCGCATTCCTTTCTTTCCTTGCTGTCTGTGGCTTTTTCTTGCTTGAACGTCGACCTTTCGCGCGGAGAAGACCTCTGCGCTGCTTGCTCGTCGCCATGGCTCAAGGCCAGCTTGCGACGCTGCCGCCGATGGCCTCACACGCCTCTGCCCCAAATCTCTCGAAAGATGAACTTTATCAGTTACAGCAGTGCGAGAGGATCATTCAGTTTCGCGATGCCATTCTTGCCGGCGCCCATCCTAGCATCAAGGTGCCAGCCAATTTGGCGAAACAAACACCTGCTTTTGCAAACGCGTTTCCGTCCAACCCTTCCACGCCGGCAAAAGACTCGGCTGCAGTCGGTCAGCCCGACCAGTCTGGGGGCTTTCAGTTGGTTGCAAACACGCAAAACGCGTCTCTTCCGGGTTTGGGAAACCTGCCCCCGACTAACGCGAATCTGCCCCAAAGACCATATGGCTCCGGCATTACTGAGATCAATCCTATTTTCCTCGAGAAATCTGATGACCTGATCAAAGCCGAGATCCAGCTCCAGAGGCAGCGCCTTGAGCGAGCATTGCGGGACGAGGTCGATCAACGACGGGCGGCTGTGAAGGCTTCGGCTCAGGCAGAGCCACTCGCCGATATCGATCTCTCCGATGTCCTCTCCAAAGCTCTCACTCTTGTCCAAGCTACCACAACCATGCCTGCCAATGCTATGCTGGCTGCTAACACTTCAGCTGCAAGTGATTCATTTGATGAGAACTCGTACTACTCCTCCCAACACAACTCGCCCGACTCTTCCCTCCTCAGTTCCCGCGCAGGCAACGAGCCTGACGCTGCCACGCAAGCAAACAAGGCGTCTGCGCCTTCACAACCCTTCGACTTCCAGACTCAGGTTCAAACCAGTCCAACCTCGGGCCTGCCTTCCTCGCTTTCCCATGCGTCTGCTACTCATCAGCCACAGGGCCAAGCTTCGACGTTCACTCCATCCCACACACGAGCTGCCCCGAGTGCAGTCGATATCGCACAATATGACCGAGAACCGTCGGTAGGCACGACGCAAAGAACAGAAGGGGGAGATAACACAGGTTCAATTTCAGGAGGTGGGAGCGGAAATGCCAGTCGATCTGAGGAGTCAGGCGTCATAGACCTTGACAACAGTGCTGATAGGTCTGTTCCAGTAGCAGGACGCCAGCAACTGAGAGACTCTTTGCTTGATCGTCAGCCTTCGCCACTTATTCAAGTCCGGGCTCACAACATATCTCCCATCGCCCCACAGCCCGCACACATTTCGTCTCTAGCCATTGCTCGGGTTCCAGCAGTAGATGCGCAAGACGTGAGTATCCCTCAAGGGACCACGGCGCAAGTCAGGGCTTTGCGCAATGAGCCCAATACTATTTCTAGTCCTGATAGTTCGCCACAAGGAGGACGGAATGTTGAGAAGCGAAAGGGCAAGAAAAAGAACAAGTTGAACAAGAAGGCGGCCCGGCAAGCGCAGGAGGCCGAGCCTTACATCAAGCCTGAACCCCGGTCACCCTCTCCCATGAACGCGCCTTCGTTTATTCGACCCCCCAAGCGCCAGAGAAGACAGGGAGAGGAGGAGCCTCGATATGCCCAGTCAGAGCGCCAATTTTCTCGCTCCTACAGGGACGAAGCCGCAGCTCCAGCTTACGAGAACCAAGAGTATCGCCGACCTGTCAGCCAAGCCGCAGTTGCTGCTGAATACGGGTACGGAAGAGAGTACGTGGAGGATGCCCGCGTCCCTAGTGGCGCAGAGTATGTACGGCGAGTACAGTCGCCTGGCGTATACGCCGTCCATACTGCGCCGAGTGAGATTTACGCAACTTCTCCAGCTAGTGTCGATCGCTACGGTAGGGAACCTACACGATACTACCGAGACGGCTACGAGGTCACGCGTATGAGTACTCGCCCCGTGGCTGAGCGTGGAAGATCTCGTTCCCCAGCCATGAGGGAGAGAGGATCACCACTTATGGGACCCCCGAAGGGGCCGCCTGCCAGAGTCGTAGTAGATCCCGCTAGCGGCCGTAGATACTACGAACCCGCCAGCGTCATTCGTCAGTCGGCCGCGCCGCAACAACCAGAGATTATTTACGAGAGAGCACCGATCCGAGCCGAGTCCAGACGGCCTGGGCCGGATCCGCGTGACGATGACGTCCTTTACCAGAGAACCTCACCCATGTACGCGGCACCACGCCGTGTGGTCACCCAGCCAGAGTATGGAACGTCAGATGCTCACCGTATATATCGCCAGCGGGAATACTCATCGAGACCGATGCCGCCACCAGGAGAGGAGTATGTTCAGATAAGGGGCGGAACGGAGCGGCGCATTGTGGAGGGGTTGCCACAGGAGTACATGATGCGTGCGACGACGGTGCGTCCGGCCGAGACGGTACGATACGAACTTCCTCGGGAGTATGGGAGAGTGCAGAGCGTGAGACCAGAGCAGCTGCCTGTTCGGGACTACGGCGGTGCGCCCATACACCCGGAAAGTCGACGGGAGGTGATTCCGCCCATTCCTCGTTCGTACAGCGTACGGCCGGCAGCTGAGTCCCACGTTGTGCGGAGAGAGTATAGTGTCAGGCCGCTGGATCAGCCGTACTACGGTCAGCCGGTCCCCGCCCGGGGTGAACCGGAGGTATCGTATATTGAGCGGCCGAGAGTGGCCGCCCCGGAAGTATACTACACCGAGGAGGGGCCCCGTCAGGTGTATCGGTGAGAAGCTTTATGAGGAACGGCAGTCACATGGCTGGCTATCGAACAGTAAAAGTAAATTTGAAACGGAATATTCCATTGGGCGCGGAAACAAGCGTGAAGGAAGGGACGGGGTGGAATTTGGGATGGGCTTTTCGGCAGCAGCCGTGGTGGGACACGTTTAAGACTACACGAATACTGTCCTGTAGTTTGGATCATGGGGAGCGTTGTACAAGTCAACGAGCGAATCAACATAATAGCGTGAGCCTAGCAAAGGCTGGATTGAAAATAAATGTTGCCTAAACTTGGTTACGGTGTGATGGTGAGACGAACGGTACAGAAAGGGGGAATCTTATTGCACACCCCCGCCCCGCCCACTGCCACATCCCTCTGTGGCTAAGGCAGGCGCGCTGCCAGGTGCCAGCCTTTTCAGTTGCGCCTGCCTGCCTAGTTGTTCCATAGTTGCGCCTGCCCACCTGGCTCGCTGCCGTACTGGCCCTACCTGCCGTACTGGCCCTACCTGCCGTACTGGCCCTACCTGCCGTACTGGCCCTACCTGCCGTACTGGCCCTACCTGCCGTACTGGCCCTACCTGCCGTACTGGCCCTACCTGCCGTACTGGCCCTACCTGCCTACCTGCCGTACTGGCCCTACCTGCCGTACTGGCCCTACCTGCCGTACTGGCCCTACCTGCCGTACTGGCCCTACCTGCCGTACTGGCCCTACTGACCCTCCTCACTGGGCGCGCCTGCTAAGTAAGGCTAGTACTGCTAGTAAGCTGGGCGGGTAGGCGCAACTGGCAGGGCAGGATAACTAGCTACTATGGCAGTAGGTAGGCAGGCGTAACTGGGTACTGGGCAGGCGCGGCCAAAAGTCAGTAGGCGGAGAGGTGGGCAATTGTCACCAACTGGCAACGCGCCTGCCTTAGCCACAGAGGGATGTGGTAGTGGGCGGGGCGGGGGTGTGCAATAAGAGTCCCCTACAGAAAGTTGCCGAGGCCGCGGTTGCATCCTTGGTTCTTGTCAAGTTGCCAGATGGCCTTGAAGCTTGCCACATATGCCGCGCACAACATAGTTTTGGCGCCTCAAGAGAGAGAAGGGGCCGGGATCGCTCCTCGACGCCGACCGCTGAGGGAGTCTGGAGTCGTTTGGGGTTTCGGAATATGCAGTGGCTTTACTTACGTACGCACGCTGGGCGCTTGCTTGTTCAGGGGTGAGGGAAGGAGGAGAAGGGAGCAGGGAAAGTGGGCAGCAGCCGGGCACGTCCAGTAGCTTTGGTTTACATTCTCTCCCTCTAATGAAGTCATTGTGTGAGCAGTCCATCGTTTTCTGGAGACTCTTTTCTGTGGTCCTTGCAGATCTCGCTTCAGACGGGGGGGATGTGTGTCGGTGGGCGCTCAACTCAACTGGGATACGAAGAGAAGGGAGGGGTAGACGTTGCTGGGTTTAAAAAGAAAGCCAAGTGAACGTGGTTATACGGGCCAGATTGAAACAAGTCAGA